TATGTATGTGTTTGAGCATTGAAATTTTGTGTTTAGGGTAAGCGGTTACAACAGGTGGCATATAATTTATACAAGGGTACTGTTTTATAGAGTTAAATTTCTGTTGTTGAAGGATGTCCACCGAGTTTAACACTCGATAAAACCTCAGATCCAACCCAATGTGGCCCGTGTCGACTAGGGAACTTCAACCCAATCTTGAATGACTATTACCAATGGCTTCTACGCCGTTTTTGCATTTCATTCACGTAACGGAATGGCCAGCATTATATGATAGAGGTTTTGACTCGAACAAATAACGAGGTGTGATTGGGCAAAGTTATCCTAAATTGGTTAAGTTATCTTAAATTGGTTTTTTACGTTAAGTATATTGAACAACGTGTGAAATATACCGGCTGTGAGGTGACATATACCGGGCATTGGTCGAAATATAATGAAACGATGTAGGGTCTGGACGAAATATATTGAATGTTTGGCGAATATGGCGTGAATCCGTTGTGCGTCGGACGAAATATACCGGAAATATCCTGAACTTAATGGTGTACGACTGTAGTACTACGTAGTAGTAGTACTACTGTAGTAGTAAAATAAACCGGATATATTAAAAGATAAATGTGGTCATCCGGATGTTGCCAATGTTGTCGCCATTTTGTCTCCATTTTGGTTTTGATTTCAAACATGGTGGCAGCTTCGATTCCGGTGACCATCTTGACGGGGTTCCTCGGCGCTGGGAAGACGTCCCTCTTAAACAATCTTCTCTTGCAGCAGCGCCAACTGAAGATCGCTGTGATCGAGAACGAGTTCGGCGAAGTGGCAATCGACAACGACCTCCTCGTGTCGAATGCGCTGAGTGTCGCGGACAAGGTGATTGTGCTCGAGAATGGCTGCATGTGCTGTACGGTGCGCGGAGACATCTTGGGTGCGTTCGCTTCCATCGCTGAACAAGTTGCGAGCGGACATCCCCTGGACATGGTGCTCATCGAAACGACGGGCATGGCTGACCCACTCCCCATCGTCCGCACCATCACCCAAACGCCGAGCATCACCGCGTCGTTCCACATGAAAGGCGTCGTGACCCTCGTGGACGCGTGCAACATCCTGACTCTCCTTGGCAGCGACAACGCCGAGGCTCAGTCCCAGATCTCCCTGGCGGACCTCGTCATCCTGTCCAAGGTCGACCTCGTGCCGCACCCGCATGTCCACCGCGACATCGCGGCGCGCATTCGAGACCTCAACCCGACCGTGCCCATCTTGCCGTGTGTCCGCGGCGATTTGGATTTTACCGCCATGTTCGATCGCCTGTCTGGCTTTGACTTGACCAAAGTAGAAGACTCTTTCGACAACTCTACCACCGACGACCACAACCATCATGACCACGCTTGCCACGACCAGTGCGATCACCATCACGGTGACAATAGACACACTCAGACCAAATCGTTTGCGATCGTCGAGCCCCATCTCGTGGTAGATCCGTTTCTGTTTGCGCACTGGATGCGCCGCCTTGTCTTGCCCTCCAAGGACTCTATTGCGAAAAACGTCGTACTCTATCGGTCGAAGGCCATCTTATCCGTCGCGGGGATGACAAATAAGCTCGTGTTCCACGCCGTGGGCGATGTCGTGGATCGCGAATGGCTCGACGTGCCCGCCGTCCATGGGTGCAAGATTGTGTTCATCGGCCGCAACCTGGACGAACGCCAAGTGCGCGCCGACTTTGACGCGTTGCTACGACCACACCGCCCCATGATTGTCCCTGGCACTTCAAGTGCCACGTCCGAGCGATTCACCGCGATGCACGCCGCCGATCCGCACCTCGTCCATCGCATCATGGAGTTTGCCACGTCGAAAGACGTTGTGCGCGTCGCAAGCACGTGTCGAACGCTGCACTTGGCGCTCACGAACTTGCAGCACCCTCGTTCAAGTTCGTCGTGGCTTGGATTGGCCCACGATCCTCGCCACGGCGGACCGTACCTGCACCCCGGGGTGGCGTTGCCCAACATCCCAACGTACATGCGCGCGTACGAGGCGGCGAACGTCGAGTTCGTGCCCTTTGGAGGCCTGAAATTCCCCACGGCGGCCCACGTCGACGCCGCCGCAGTTGCATGGCTCGAGCTCGCGCGCTTGGCAGAACCGTCGTGTCGATCGTACGCGCTGGATTTCACGTGGCGCCCAGAGACCATCGCCGCGTTTTTCGGGGCGCCCACACCCATTCAAACGAGCTCAGCTTTGGTGAAAATCGAGTATGACGTGGCCGCGTCCGACGACTTTGACGAAGCCGCGACAGATATCTTGCGCTTTCGGGTGTTTTTAATCCCGGCCGTGTCGGGGGATGACGTGGCAGGCTACCGCCTCGTGTTTCAACTCACGGGGGGCCGCACGTCGTCGCAGGTGTACCAGATCTCGTTCCATTCTATCCATCCGGCGTTCCAAGTGCATGTGGCCGTGCCCGATCACCGCGTACCCCGCGCTGAGACCAAGGAAGTGTTCTACCCTGGCCATCCATTGCTGCATGCCGTCCAGACAGAGCACGCGCTGCGGTTTGTCGTGCGCGTGAAACCCGACGGCAGTGGCCCCCTCGGTGAAATGTGTGGCTGCTGTTGATCGGTCAGGAATCGAGACAACCACGCGCCTCGCGTTGAGTCTGTTCATACGACTAACTACTAGTACAGTATAGGGAATGCATACTAGTAGCATACTAGTAGTGTAGAGGATGCATGCTAGTACCGGTAGATTAGAAATGCATACTAGTAGTGTAGAGAATGCTCCTAATAATAACATTGGGGGGTGCTCTGTAACGATGAATACCCAAACATATATACTTCATCAAACTTGTGTCGAAATATGTCGTGAAATGCAAGTGCAAGTGTGGACATCGGACACCACAACCACGAATGGTATACATACTTAGTATGGACGCACTACTGTACAGTACCTATAAGTTTATCTCGATCCGTTCGTTCAGTGCACCTTGAAGTGCCCGTTAGTTGCTGAATACTTGACCCCGTCCCCCTGTTGTCGTAATTAACTGTAAAGTGTTTTATGTTTAGAATGTTATTAGGTCTACCTACATTCCTGTTGCCATTGTTCGAGTGAGCTCTAATCAAACGTCCGTGGGCTTTCCGCGGGAATTTCTGGACCCAGCCAAGCCCCACGGCCAGCCGTCGCCACCATCGATCGAAGCGCCAGTGCCCGCCATCACACGCCTTAGCCTTCGCACTACTCACTTCCAATCCCCACGGCACAAGCCTCCGCTGGACATGAGCTGGTTGTCACGGTCGGTCCATGGAGAAGCAACTACAGCCAGTGGTTCCGAATAAATAACTCATCCGAAAAATTATTTATATTTCGAACTAAAATAAGTTATTTATTCAGATAATTGATTCGCTGATTTAAAAAAGAGTAAGTTATTGGATGTGGGTAGATAATTTTTCATATTTCCAGTGGACCAAATTGATTGCAGATTGATTGGTTTCAGATGAATTGCACCAATGACACCTCACTTGCTCATTTGATGTCAACCGTGACCCATCCAACCAAACCCTTTAGTGGGAAGGCGCTCGCCGATGTCTTTTTCCAACATACCGATGACCCAACCGTGTGGAAGTGTAAGAGTGGGCAACAGCGCTCTCAAAAGTCGAGTGGGTACACGAACTTGTGTTCTCATATTATGAAATGCCATCCTGAATACACTTCCCTACAGTACGGGAACAAAGGTTAAGACATCACGAAATTCATGATAAACGAAGTCACTTTGACACCGTCTGGGGCTAAATTTAGATCACGGGAGACGCTTCAGGATACTCTACCGCATGCAATGAGCTGTATTCGAAAATGCGATTTGGATTTTGGTAGAGCCGCTGGCTAGCCTTTTCGGCCTCGGAAGCCAGAATAGGACAATGCACATATCGTCCTCTAATGCAAAAACCACTATACCATGACCGCTGAAAACTTACATGCACACCACAAAACACTTCTTCTGCAGTCTAAACAACATCTCATGGGTCGCGGCAAGCAACTGAACGAATTCCAGAAGGGACAAATCGTTGTCTGGATGCAGCACCAACAAACCGTTCAGTTCATGGCCCAAAGCCATGGCGTCTCTCGAACTGCCATCAGTAACTACCTCAAGGACCCTGAAAACTACGGCAAACGTTTCAAGGGCGGCCGACCATCAAAATCGAGCGTCAACGACGTTCGCCAAATTTTCCGAACTGCCTCCAAGACTGGCGCAACCGCCACAACAATCGTTCGTGACCTCAATTTGGCCGTGTCGCCACGCTGGGTCCGTCACATGCTCAAGGACAACACTTGCTTCGAGTACGTCAAGCGTAACGCCACCCCCCTCTTGACCAAGGCTCACATGGAGGCGCGGCTGAAATACGCGAAAAAACACCTTGAGTCCCCCCCCGTCCTGGTCCACCATCATCTGGTCCGACGAGAAAAAGTTCAACCTGGATGGCCCGGATGGGCTACAGTGCTACTAGCGTGACCTCCGCCATCCCAAGGAGTCTTTTTGCTCTCGCAAATTCGGGGGCCGCAGTGTCATGGTTTGGGCCGGGTTTTCTTCCGACGGGGCGACCGAGCTTGCTTTCCTGGAGGGCAACCAGAACTCTTGCAAGTACATCTGGACCCTCCAGGACTACCTCTTCCCCTTTGCGCACCAAATCTACAAGGGTGACTTCACCTTCATGCAAGACGGGGCCTCGATCCATCGATCGAAGGAAACCATGGAGTTCCTGACCAGCCAAAATGTCAACATGTTTGAGCACCCCGCCCTCTCCCCGGACTTGAATACAATCGAAAACCTGTGGGGGATACTCGTACGCGGCATTTACGCCGGGGGGAAGCAATACCACAGCGTGGAAGCCCTCATTTTGGCCATTAAGCACGAATGGTCCAAGATCGACGTTGCAATCATGCAACGTCTTGTTGACTCCATGCCAAGACGCTGTGACGCTGTGATCGAGTCAAACGGTGCCTTGACGCCTTACTAGGATGGAATCCGTGCATAACTACATGAAATAATGCGATTTTACTTTTGTGTCTTATTTCGGGTTCCGGACGGAATATATGAAATCGTTGTCTGCGGAGCGCACTGATTAACTTTCGACGCCCCAGGTAGTACAGAAGGCTTCCCCATCAGTTTCAAAGTGCTGGATCCAAACTTGGGAACTCTCGCAAACGTTGCGTCGTTGCTACATCCAATTTTCTAAATGTCTTAACCTTTGTTCCCGTACTGTATCTCAATTTGATGCTTCTCCCTCCAACTCGATTGACGAGAGGCTCATCCCACGTGGTGTGCGCAAAGTGTTTGGGTGGTTGCAGTGGATTGTTTTCTCCATGCTACCCTTTTCATTCTGTGAAAGCGATATGGCTCGGAAAGTATTCAATCTTGGAAACTATTAGCACTGATACTTTTATGAAGTACATGAGTATGCTGTGCGAATGCGTGGAGAAAAAGATAGCTGGACTACTTCCAGACAAGGTCGCAATTGTGTTTGATGGTTGGTCCATTGGATCAACCCACTATGTTGCGGTTTTTGCAACATTTCCAACAAATGATGATGCAGGCTACAAAAAGATTTTGTTGTCTTTTTCGCCAATCAATTAAGAGGATTCTTTAAACACAAATGCTCATTTTGATTACCTAACATTTGTATTGGATATTTATGGGGAAAAAATATCTGAAAATGTAGTGGCACTGATTGGAGATAATTGTTCAACCAATGGTGCATTCGCACAACGTTGTGGGGTTCCATTGGTTGGATGCGCGAGTCATCGCTTCAATTTATTCGTTTGTGATATTTTAAAAGAAAACAAACCTGTCGTCAGTGTTGTGAACGATCTTATGAAAAAACTGGGTAATCTACTGCCGGCCGCCAGGCTCCGCCGTCTAACCCACCTAACGACCATAACGCGCAAGGCAACCCGTTGGAGCTCAACCTACGCAATGCTCAAACGCTACGTCGCCATCCGAGGTTTTGTGCATCAACTCAACGACCGCACTATCCTCTCTCTTCTCTCCACCGATGAGCAAGACAAGGAAATCGACATCTTGCTGGGGATCCTTGGCGAGCTAGAATCAGGAACCAAAGACCAACAAGCTGAAGACTCCACTATTTTGGACGCACGCAACCTCTTCGACGAGACGATCCTGCTATACCCAGATGCGGCCAAGCGTTTGGGCCCAAACGCCGACATTTTGGTCAGCCCGAATTTCGAATCTGCCGTGACGAAGTTGTTGAACAACGCGGCGGGTCAGTTGAGTGCCGTTGAGCGGGAAAGCGTTTGTGGATTGCAGATGTACTCACCAGCCACTCAGAATCCAAGCGACAAGCCTTTGACCCTGGCGGAACGAGCAAAGAAACGAAAGAAGACAAGTCATGAGGAGTTCAATTACTTGTATTGCCGGTTCCTGTGACCCACGTCGAATATGTGCGAGCGGTTCTTCTCCTGGGCGAAGCTGGCTTTGACCGATTATCGTCGTGCAATGACGCCGCAGAACTTTGAGCAGCAAATGTTCTTGAAAGTAAAACCCCGAAGTACTGGCTGTAGTACAGCCTGTACTTCGCACTAACTATTACTTAAACAATATATTGCAATTTATTTAGTTCAATTATTTATTGTTCCACTTCGCAGATTGCAATTATTAATTGATTTTCAGGATGATATTGCCGAAAATTGATTATATTGTGCAAATATATCACCACAGGTATTGCAAATATATTGTAAAATAATCAAAGGTTGCATTGACTGTGAGGTTAGTGTACCAGCTCCCAGCGACGAGAATGCACTTGCAAAACGAGCATAACCAAGTGCTACGCAGTGCTACGCCCTCCCTTGACTGGAGATTTGGACATGTTTGCATGAAACACCGTTGGAGGGTTGCTCAGGCTCTCCCAGTTACACAGAAATTGGTGACACGGGTCGGGTTGAGTGGTGTCAGTTGAAACGCACCTGCATGAGTTTCAACTGACACCACTCAACCCGACCCGTGCAAAGTGAGGCATTTCGCAGTGTTCTCATATCATCATTTCCCGTGTAGTTAGTTACTTTCGACAGCCCTGTCCATGTTTTCAACCTTGTCCTTGAAGCAACGCCCAATTTTACCAAAGGAGTACTGCCAGTACTTCTTTGGTAAAGTATCAGTCGAGGGAAGTCAGAACACTTGGATGTGCTCGGTGTGCAAGCGCCAACTCAAGTCAATGTGGCTAGTAGTGGCTACACCAATCTGTACAGCCTCCTCAAGCTGAAGCACCCTGGGCTTGCTGGGATCTACGCTGAGGCCATTGGGCAAAATTCGAAGTCTGCTCCGTTGGACGCCTGGTTCGATCCTAAAGCCACCAACATCTTTAACTGGATCGAGTGGCTTATCATGAACGAGCACGAGTTCACCTTTGTGGAAAGTCAACTGACGCGGAAAAACTCAACGTTGAAACCCATTTCTGTCAAAACGATAAAACGCTACTGTTTCAAGTTGGTGAAGGCCGTGGAACGACGTGTGTCGAGCGCTATGGCTGGCCGGCCGTACAGCATTGTGTTTGATGGGTGGTCCAACGACTCTACGCATTTCCTCGGAATGTTTGTCTCGCTCCCGAATGTGTGTAAAGGTGGTGGTGAACCGGTTATGTGGCTCCTTGCATTCGCTCCTATACTGGACGAGACGAGTTTTGACGGCGCTACTCACTACGAGTTCATCCTGGAAACGTTAATGTGGTATTGGCCAATCAGACGCAAGCATCGAAAAGTGGTTCGTTTGTCTGATTGGCGACAATTGTTCGACCAATAAGGCCACGGTGAATCTCTTTTCACGGCTGTTGATTGGCTGTCACAGCCATCGCTTGAATTTGGCAGTGGATCAGTTCCTCAAAGCTAATGTCAGTGATGTGCTCTCCAATGTGGCTGCAGTCATGGTTAAGCTTCGATCGTTGAAAGCGGGGGGCCCACTGCGATTAACCACCATGTTGAAGCCCAAGCTACGCAATGCCACCAGGTGGACTGGCGCTGTGTCCATGTTTTAACGCTACATCAACTATCGTGATGGCAACCACATCGATGCCTCCGATCCCGAGATGTTCGTATTGTTACCGACCACACAAGATGACAACCTTATCCGGCGCCACCTACTGGCACTGAAAAAGTTCAAGTCGATAACTCTCGCCCTGCAACGGCGCGATGTGACTTTGTCCGAAGCGCGTCTTGTTTTTGATCGCATACGCCAGAAGTACACTTGCCTAGATTCCCATCTGGCGCCCGACAGTAACATCGTCCGCGACGAAGGGTTCGAATCTGCCATCACAAAAGTGCAGCGTCATCGTGAAAGCACCCTGTCAGCACTCGAAAAGAAATCCTTAAAACGACTTCAACGAGAATCAGTCGAGTCGATCGAATCAGACAGTGATGGTAGCGATGACTTTGCCATGGTGACACTTAAGCGGCAGCGCACGATGACTTCTGCGCCGTCTGGGTACGTGTGCACGAAGTTTAACATCAAACGAGGTGGAACGGGTAAACAGCATGTGCAAACGACTCTACACCGTACGACATCGACTCGAGCCTCGAACCCTGAAAATGCTCGTATTTCTGCGCTGCAATCGCGACCTGTGGGACGTTTCACTGGTGTCTCAAATTGTCAACGAAATCGACAAAGAAGAAACAAAGGAAGATCCCGACGGGAACGAAGTTTCCCCCAGCAAAAGTGACGAAAGTGACGGCTGTGAGAGTTGTGATGAAGAATTCTGACCTTAGTAACAGCAGTAGGATACATAATACATCGACATGTACTCATATCAGACGCTTACATATATCCGCGTTTTACTGACGCGCCGTTCGGGTTCACGTTTCCATGGGCCATTCGTATGAGCTGGATATGTGTAACATCAATCCGGCTTTCTGCGGAGCATGCCTTGACCCGCAGCCTGCAACGACGCTGTGGAATGGCCGGGAGTGCTCGAAAGACTTGCCCAGCGGGCAGTTCTGTGGTCTGGCGTCGTTGATACGTTTGGCACGTGGAAGTTGGCATCCAGGTGCAAACAGTGTAGTTCGATGTCGTGTAGGCTTGTGCTCCACATCCAACGGCACTTCCAGACATTGCGGTTGCTGGCGAGGACGCTGGGGGCGTTTTGTCTTGCTTGCGAATGGGGGGCTCCCAAAAATGACATAAATCGGGTATTTGTGTTCAGCATACGTTGTGGATGTGTAACAGCCTGTGTTGCATTTGTGTTGACATGTCCCAGAGATGCCACCAAAAATGAAGGAACACAAACCTGACTGGTGCACAGTGGATTTGCCCTCGGACTCGTTTCAACCTTGCACCTGCACTGGCTGTTGCTGCTTGGCGATGCGTGCATCATTGCTGCCGCTTCTCGTCGCTCGACGAGTTGCACAAAAGCGATATAAATACCGCAAACGCCTCCTTATCGCTCTCATGCTCCGCCTGCGAATGAGAATCAGGACTCGCAACAAGGTCCTGACTCCTGTATGCTGCCAACTGGACCTCATAACTCTTTAGATTCAATCAAATGCACTCGTATCAACGATAGAAATACCGTGGTACGCAATGTATACAAGCCAATGCGATCGGAGCTTCGTGGCGACTACAAGTCTCGACGTTGACTCACTTGAGCGCCTTTTAGCAGTTTATTCTGTGAACTACATCGTGAAATCCGGTCGAGGTAGATGAAATATTTGATAAGTAGCAATTAATTAACCTTCAAAAGATCGACGCGGCAGGCCTCCTCGATGTGACGAGAAGCACGTTGTACTGGCTTGTCTGCTGCACTCGTACGCTGCCGTCGTCGAACGCAAGACTCTTTGCGAGTTGTTCAGCATGCCACCGACTACTTTGTCGCGAGTGCTGTTTAATGCAGAAGCCGCTCTGCTGAAGTCGCTCAGGCAAATTCCCGAGGCGTCGATACGGTTTCCGAACCATGCAACACAGGCGGCCGCCTGTAGGGCTCGTGAGCCCGATGCACCTCAAGTTGCTTTCTTTCTCGACGGAAAGAACTACCTTGTACAAGAACCAATCCATAGGGATATCCAAAACGCTTTTTACAATGGTACTCACAGATTCATAAATATATAGTCACATATTTCAATTGTCCAAATTTCTTACATGTTTTAAATGTCGCTATGTAAATAGGATGGTTGCACTCGGTTTTTGTGACTGGGGTATTGCTGTACGGTGTTGGTGGCACTCTCGTGTGGGGAAAGCACAACTTCCCTGGCTCCTGGAACGATGGCGAAATGAGTCGACCCCTCATGGAGCTGTTACCGGTGTGTTAGCATCAGGTTTTTGTGTTGCTGCGGACACTGCTTTTCCTGTTAAAGACGTAAACAAAACCGTGGTGAGCTCCATTGAAGTCTGGAGACCTGGAGAAGACGTTGCCTGTGCTGCGCGAAGCCGTGATGCGTGTGAGCAATGTCATAACCTCCTTGAGGAAGGCTGCTGAGTGGGGCGTGGGGTCTGCCCCGACTGTGTACCGCGTGTTAGGACTGCCGCTGTGGTACAACCCAGAAATTCGTGCACGGCACAATTTACCGTTTGTACAACGTCAGAGTTCGTACCATGGGTATTAGCCAAATTCACTCTGTTTTTCAATGATGAACAAGTTTATCATTGACTGGCACGGAATTTTGTATTTTTAGTTTGAAGATCCTAAAAACTTTGCCATCAACGTCATCATGAGCGCTTCATGTTGCTGCTCCCGCTCACGCTCTTCGCGATCCAAGGACTCTTGTCGACGCTGCTCATCCTCGCGACGACGTTGATCAGCTTGCTCTTGATTCCACACTGCTCGTTCTTCCGCTTGTTCCTTTTTCCACTCGAATTCACGAGCACGGGCCTCGGATTCCATTTACAAGAGAATCAAGAAAAATGGATCAGCCGATGGAGTGCTTTCAGACGCAGCAGCAATTTTTGCTACGAACTATTATCAATATTAATGGTTCGAAAATAAATACAACAAAAATGTGCTCAATCAAATCGCCTCCACATGGCCATCGAAACAAGGCTTCGAACGCTCACTTGTGGCGTCGTCGTCTTGATCGTGTAGCTGTATTGCCCCCACCATCGATTCAAGGCACTAGTGTAGATGATGCCCTGTTAACATTTTAAATGTATTTTAAATACATCCAACTCCTTGTACCAACCGGATAAATTTGATTGCCCAGCTAACCATCCGGATAAACTGATTAACCGGCCACCAAAACCATGACCAACATTATTTGCCGCCCTGTTTTGGGCGGCAAGTGCAAACATTTGAAGGAATTAACCAATGAAATTTGTCGACTTCGAAGCAAATCACCTGTGATATGCGTGTCACTTCTCGTTTGCCATCTATAGACACGCATGCCATCACCGAGAACCGCCCGTGTCGAGGCACCTGCTGCTGCACCGAGCAACCACCCGGACATGTACGACATGTCCGGGCTGGAAGACTTCTCGTATGACGAAGTAATGCGAGTGACGCAATCCGAAGAGGAATGCGTTAAGTGGTGCATAAAGGTCGGGTTGCTGCGGTCGCCGATGATGTGCCCAAAGTGCGCCAAACCCATGAAGCTACGGCAACAGCGATGGCGCTGCCAACGGAGCGCCTGCGGCTCTGCCCAGCTCAGCGTCAAGGCAGGTTCGTTTTTCGCGAATTCGAAGATTCCGATCTGCAAAGCAGTTCGTTTAATGTTCGACTGGGCATCGAAGAAGGCTGTCATGACAGTGGCCGATGAGCAAGAAGTGACCCCAAGAACCGCAATCGATTGGTACCAATTTTGCCGTGACATTTGTACCACCGAAATGTTACGTTGCGAAATGCAGGTACCTACATTTATTATACTAGTACATGAATAACTGCAACGTCTGTTTTTTTTTTAATACATATTCATGATATATACTTTTATACTTAGAAATGCATATGTGTTCTTTAGACCTATTTACAGTTCGTGTAAAAACTATTAGCTCATATTTTCTGAGTACATCAATATATTTGTTGTAGTACACTGTGGAATGTTTGTTCTGTCTGCATATTTGGCGATATTTCTAAGTATTAATTAGTACATGTTTTCTATGTGCATGCATGTTTTGTGATTTTAGTTTGTACTATTAATGGTACAAGATAATTACTAGTATTCAATTGTAGTACATTTGCTTGTGTGTATATACTATCTGTGTTATAAACACAAACAAACATATATTTGCTACAAGTATTAACACATATATATATATA